TTTATTTTTAAATCATTCTCATCCTAATGTGACATCCAGTAGTTTTCTACTTATTCTAAAGGGTAAAAATAACTAAACTGCATACAAATTTTCCCACACTATAAAAAATTCTCATAATTAATTCCTTGCTAGATACAGAATTATCAATTTAAAATAACTTCCTTTGCAGTTCAGAAGGTCTTCGTACATTTTCCTCATTATCCAATGTTATTGAAGAAATAGCCTTATACCTTTATAGGTAACCAATTTCTCTCTAGAAACTTTTATGATCTTTTCTATATCCAATAATGTTCATGTATTTTACAGTTATTTCTTTACCCCCTTGTATCTTTCTCTTTTGTTTTTCTTCATTACTAGGGAATGAACCCAGGGATGATATACCACTGAGCACATCCCTAACCTTTTTTATTTTTTGATCTTGCTAAGTTACCTTACCTGACCTTGAACTTGTGATCCTTTTGCCTCTGCCTCTCTCAATGAAGAGAATAGGCATTTACCACTATGCCCAGCATGTCTCTTCTTGTGAGATTTCTGTTAGGCAGATGTTGAGCCTACTAGATTAATTCTCTATATCTTTTGACTTCATAATTTCTCTTTGAATTTTTGTGGTGTACCTTACATTGACCTTTTTCTTCTAGTCCTTGCATTTGGTATTTGGTCATTTTATAAATTAATTGAATAATACAGACTCTGTTAAGTTAAAATGCACATTGTAAACCAGAGAGCAACTACCAGAAAACAAACAGAAAATAGATAGTAAGAGGAGATAAAGTAGAATTTATAAATACCTAATTAATCCAAAAGAGGGTAGGAAAGAATTTTATTTTACTTTATTTTATTTGGTTCCCAGGGATCAAACTCAGGACCTTGTGCTTGTGAGGCAGGCAGTGGCACCACTGAACTAAACCCCTGGGCCAGCAAAGAATTTTAAAAGAAACAAAGAACAGGATAAATACCAAAAAGGAGCCAATAGAAAGCTTTCTATCATATTTCTCTAAGAACGTTTTAATTATCCAGCTTATTGTCTTTTTCTTTTTCTTTTTGATAGATTTGGAGGTTTTCTCTTTTTCTCTAAGGTTTTAAATTAGAATTTGTATTATACTTCAAGTTTGTGGGGGTTTGTTGTGTTCTGTTTTGTGTGTTTGTGTGTGGTGCTAGGGATTGAACTGTGGGCCTTTACATTGAGCTATATCTGCAGCCTTTTTATTACTGTTTCATTTACAGGATCTTGCAATATGGTCCAAGTCTATCTCAAACTCACTGTTTAGCCCCAGTCAGCCTCCAATTCTCAATTCTTTTGCCTCAGCCTCGCAAGTGCTGGGAGTACAGGTGTTTCGGTGTTATAAAAACAGTATTTCCATTATATGGAATTCGTATACTTCCATATATATGGAATTCTAGAAGATACAGACTTATCTTTAGTGACAGAAAACATATCCATGGTTACCTTGGGACCAAAGTGGAAGGAGAAATTGGCTGCAAATGAATAAGAGGAAAGTTTTAGAAAGGACAGAAATGTTCTCTATGCCAACTGTGGTTTTGCCAGTATATATATCTTTCAGACTTCATCATACTATACAAATGGTTGCAAATTATTGTATGTAAATTATACCTCAATAAAGGTGATTAGAAAGAGACAAAAAAATAGTTTCTGCCTCTGCTGTAGCCGTCTTTGTCTGTCCTTGGTTACAAATCTAGCTGTTGAATTGGAAGCCTTTAAACTCACCTTAGAATGTAAGGCTTATTCATTAAGTATATGTACAGCTCCTTATTACAAAATTATATTACCTCCAAAACATGTTTAAAGTTTGGCACAGTTAATGTCTCTTTGATGTTTGCTCTCCATTTGGGCAATCATCAGCCAGTTTCTTACTGCTTAGAATCAGAGATACTTAGGATTGACGAAAAGCATTTAGAGGTCATCTAGCTTTTATTTCTTTAAGTGCTCTTGCTTTTGTCACCACACTAGTAGAGGAAAAGGGGCAAGTGAACTTCCACAATCTGTATACCTTTTCTACCTCAAGAGATTTTGGAAACTGGAAATTGGAAGCCACCCAGATCCAAAGAGAAGGTCTGGGTGTGTAGCTCAATGCTAGAATATTTGCCTGGCAAGCAAATCATCTCCAGCAATACATATATGTACAACTGTGTGCATACATGCATACTATGATCCAAGGAGATAAATCACTTTCTCCCCTGTTCCATATTGTCATGTTTTTGTTTTATGTCCCATATCTATTTCATGGGTAGGATACTTTTCTCATTTCTCATATAGCTGACAAAACATAGGTCCCACTGTCCTAATTTCACATTACCAAAAGAACAAATGTCATTCTCTAAATTTGGTTTACACCTGGCCCAAACACTGTGCTAGAGGTATACCCACTAACCATGGGACACTGGGAAAGACTACTGAGAAGACAATACAATTTGAGCTGACAGACTGATAGCCTCCACAAGATGGGTGGTCAGTAAGGACTGCAATAAAAGATTTCTATTGGAGGACAGAATGATGCACATATGTAATTCCAGGTACTAGGGAGGCCAAAGCAGGAGGATCACAAGTTCGAGGCCAGCCTGGGCAACTTAGCATGACCTTATCACAAGAACAATAATAAAATGTTTTTAAGGTCTGTAGATACAGTTTGGTGGTAGAGCACTTACCAAGCATGTCCAAAGCCCCAGATTCAATCTCTTGTATGAGGAAAAAAAGATTCCTGTTAACTTCAAGCTGTTCTTCCATAATGAAGTCACTGTGTGCATTAGCATGGGACAAAGGAGAGTACAAACACATGAAATGTCCAGTATTCTACAAAAATTCTCAAATATTTTCCTTTCCCTAAAAATCTTTCAGATATCAGAAAACGGGACAATAAAGAAAGATGAGCTTGAGACATTTATAGCTAAATGGATACACCCTGAGACCATACTCTTAAGTGAAATAAATCTAACACATGTTTAGATACTGCATTGTTTCTCTAGTGTGAGAAACCGAAAGTGGAAATAAGGACTAAAATGTACAATAGACATTGGGAAATGGGAAGAAAATGTTCAAATGAGAAGGGGAACAAGGGAGGGATAAGGGGAAAGGAAGGAAAGGACAAGGAAAAAAAAGAAAAAAATTGAAACAAAGCCTTTGTACATAAGGGAGAGGAGGAATGGGGGTAAAAGAAGCAAGATATATCATATACTGGTACAGATTCCCTATGATGAATGTTATCATTGTATATATCTAAAATGTACTAATGTTTTATTTAAAAAATGAGACATTGCTGAGAATGCAAAAGCAAAGGTGTTTATATTAGTAGTTCTGATTATGAAATTTAAAATTAAGAATTCTCATGAGCACAGAATAATCATTGAACTATTCCTAAGTGTCTTTGTATTTTATTCAATAATTTATTGACAATAAATAACTAGTAATGATAGTGCCCTTCTGTTCAAGAATTGAGGTTTTATGTTGCCTGAGAATGCAGCCACATTAAGTCAGACATTGAGCTGGATTAGTCCAGTAGATTATGACAATAGCAATTTTTCTTTTGCTTATTTGGTTTTTTGGGGGACATACACATGATAAAAGGTAGAACTATATTTAAAGATTTAATCATTATTTTAAGGCTATGTTGATGTCTCCACAATAGAAAAAAATTTGGTGAACTGCAGGTACAATTCAGTGGTAGAGTGATTGCCTAGCATGCAATCCTGGGTTCAGTCCCCAGCACCATAAAAAAATGAAGGGAGGGAGGAGGGGAGGGGAGGGGGAAAAAGTGTATAAGACGGTATTTTTGTAGCTTTTGGACACCCAGTAGTTTAATCAATTATAACTTGAGCTGGATGACGTGGTGGTGCATGCCTATAATCCCAGCACTTGGGAGGTTGAGGTAGAAGGATTGCTGTGAGTTTGAGGCCATCCTGTACTACATAGTGAGACCCTGTCTCCAAAAAAACCCCAAAACATTTATAAATTGAATCTGAAAAGTCTAATTGCTGTTTTCTTCCAGATAATTATAAAAATTTTAGGGAAAAAAGGGAAAGGAATAAATACGAGAAAAGGAAAAAATGGAAACAAAAGTCTTTGTAAATAGGGAGGAATGGAGTGGTTGAAAGGCAGGGGAATGGGGAAAAAAATAACCAAGATACATCATGTAAAGGTACAAATTCCCAATGATGAATATCATATTGTGTACCTAAAATGTACAAATAAACTTAATAAAAAAAAAGAAATAGGGCTGGAGCTTTAGCTCAGTGGTTTCACCACCTGCTGCGCAAGCACAAGGACCCAAGTTCGATCCCCAGTACCAATAAAAACAACAACAACAAAAAGAAATAATTTTAACAAAGGACATGAAAGATGTATACACTGAAAATTATAAACATTGATGAGAAATTAAAGAAGATATAAATATTATGAAAAAGAATTGAAAGGTTGCATTGAAAGCCTTTTCAAGAGACTTTTTCTTTTAAACAGGTTCCAATTTATTGTGCCTAAAGAATGGAATAGCAAATATAGACCTGTGTGCATTCATCTTGCTGGAACAGGAGATCATGTAAGACTTTATTATAACACTTTAATCCCTAGATAGCTTTTTAACATATTCTCCTTTACAGATGTGGTTACTATACTTGTTCAGTATGTCATCTTTTCTCTTCTTAGCATTACTGGAGGCGACGAACACTAATGGCCCGTCCTATGATTAAAGAAGCCCGAATGGCTTCACTGTTGTTAGAAAACCCTTATTATATCCTTTTGTAATACCTAAGAAATATTTTTCTTATTTACTTTTTATATATTTAGTTATCAAAATGAATCCCAAATCCAACTTTTCCAAACTAGTTCAGTCATCAGTTCAGAAAATAAGAAAGAAAGAAAAAGAGTGAAAGATTATTTCATGCCTTTTAAAAAACTAATGTAAGGATTATACTTCTATTGTATAATAATAAATTGTATTTTTATTTCTTGAGGTATACTTATGTTGTTTTTTAATAAGTCACATGCTTGCTAGTAAAGAAACATTTGTGGGGGCCGGGGATTTAGCTCAGTGGCTCTTCATCTGCCTCACAAGCACAAGGTGCTGAGTTTGATCCCCAGCACAAAAAAAAGTCCTGAAGAAACATTTGTGTTTCAAATGCATTTATGGTATAATTTGAGGGCCGGGGATTTAGCTCAGTGGTTTTGCCACCTGCTGCGCAAGCACAAGGACCCAAGTTCAATCCCCGGTACCAAAAAAATAAAAAGAAATCTCACTTTAAAAAATAAAAAAATAATAATTTGAGCTTAGAACGGTTCTTAAACTTCAAGATGACAGACTATTCATGGAAGAAATGAAACTGATACACAGATTAAAGAAATATTCAACATTACTGGTAATAAGAAATGTAAAGTGAAAACAATAATTACCAATAATTTTTGAAATTAAAAAACATGAAAAACAATACTGGGGAGGCTACTATGTGTTGGGCACTCTTATTACTAATGACTGAAAATCAGTTCAACCCTTTAGAAATGCATTTTTACCATGTGTATCAAGAGCCTTAAAACATCTTGCATCTGAGCTGGAGGTGTGGCTCAGTGATACACCACTTGCCTAGCATCACCTCAAAAAGAAAAAAAATTAAAATCTTAACATTCCTTGGCAGAGTAACTGATTCTGGGGGATGTATTCCAAGAATAAATTACTAAGATAAAAGAAACTAATATATTTATACAGCTTTGTTTATAATTGTAAGCCATTAGAAATAACTGTATACAACAGAGAAATGACTGAGTAAACTGGTTCATATTATTAGAATTGTATATAATTGGTTGTGTTTATTGCTGTACCACTTACTGCCTTTGTGACTTTAGACCTGTTACTTAACCTTTTTCTACCTCAGTTTTCTCATTGATAAATGGGAATAATCTTGTAGGTTATTCAGAGTATTAAATACTATTATCTAGAATACTACTTGACTAAATAATAAGCATCCAGTAAGTTTTAACTGTTATTAAAATTTATAATGTGTGAAAAGTAGTTATGATATAAAAATAGAATATAAAACCATATGGTCTCAGAGACAGAATGTGTGTTTACCATGCACAAGGCTCTCAGTTCACTCCCCAGCAACAAAACAAAAGCCATGTGGAATAATGCAGACATGCAAAAAAACCACAAAAACCTAAAGACAGAATTCAAACCAAAAACTATTCATGAGGAAAATACTAGAAGGGAATACACAAAAAAGTATCTCGTTTATAGATAAAGTACTTTTTCTTCTAAATGCTTTTCTGTATTTTCTAGATCTCTAATAATAATAATAATCTCTAATAATAAACATAACTACATAAACTATAACAGTAAACTTTATTTTAAATATAAGTAGAAAATTTTACAAACCTGTGATACACTGAAAACATTAAATTATACACTTGAAATGGATGAATTATATGATTATATCTCAAAAATTATGTAAATTAAAAGAAAAATACGGAAATTGAACGTAGTTGGACATGGTGGCACATATCTATAATTCCAGCTACTCAGGTGGCCGAGGCAGGAGGATTGCAAGTTTAAGGCCAGTCTGGGCAACTTAGCAAGACCCTTGTCTGAAAATAAAAAGTGCTGGGACTATATAGCTCAGTGCTTGCCTAGCACAGGACCCTGTGTTTTATCCCTTGTATTACCCAAAAAAAGAGTAAGAAAAATCTGAGAACTTCTTCACACCCTACAGAGGTAGCTAGATACTACTTTTGTCAGTATTAAATTGTGTTCAGATTTAACTATTCTAATATATTTTGAGACAAAGTTTATTTAATATTTTAAAACTTTCTCTTTGACCCACATTCTTAAATGGCTGCAGGAAACCCAAGGACCAAGTGTAAGTATATATATCACCTTCATTTTTGCAGTTTTCATACCAAATTTTCAGCAATATTAAAATTTTTGGTAGCCTTCAGTAAACTATTTCTACGTTTAATGTCCATGTATTATGAGAGGTACTATATATAAAAGAGTAGGAATATTGACTTTAATTTTTATCTTAAGATTGTTTTTTAATGTCTGATGAGGAGCTTTAATAGACTGAATTGATATATTTTTATACAACTATCTGAAAAAATGATAGAACTTTTTCCTTTTATTATATAAAGATTAAACTTTCTTTCTGGTCTTTTAAAATTATGAACTTTGGTAATTATTTGGCATTTCCATTATGTACTATATTGTGTTTTCTTTGGCTAGCTTATTTATTTACTTAGTTTTTTGAGACAGTGTCTCACTGTGTAATCTAGGCTTGTCTTGAACTCACTATGTAGTCCAGGCTGGCCTCAAACTTGGAGCATTGCCTCAACTTCCCAGGTGCAGGAATTAATAGGCATGTGCCATCATGCCTGGACTTTTGTCTTATTAAATAAAAATTTAACCCTAGAGATGAGAAGTACTCATATTTATAAGTTGCATATTTTATGAAAATAATATATACATGGCCTTAGTATTAGGTTACCTTTACTTTCCTTTTGTAAAAAAAAAAATTGTTTTAGGCTGGGAGATGTAGCTCAGTGGCACTGCGCTTACCTGGTAAGCACAAGGTCCTGAGTTTGATTCCTGGTGCTGGGGGGGGGGTTGTTTTGAGCCAGGCGTGGTGGTGCACACCTGTGATCCCAGCACTCAGAAGGCTGAGGCAGGATGATCACCATGAGTTTGAGGCCAGCCTGGGCTACATAGTGAGTTCAAGGCCAGCGTGAACTACATAGTGAGACCTTGTCTCAAAAAAAAAGTTACGTTTATGTTCTATTGTAATAATTTCTTTTTAAAGTGGAAGAAAACTGTAAATTTGTTTTTCTTAAAATCATTAGAAATTGTAAGTACAACAATAATTATTTTTCCATTGCCAAGTGTGCTGGCACATGCCCGTAATCTCAGCATTCAGTAATCTGAGGCAGGAGGATTGCCATGAGTTTGAGTCCAGCCTGGACTACATAATGAGTTCAAGGCCAGCCTAGAAAACGATCATAATGTATACCTAAAAGGTACTAATAAACTTAATGAATAAAAATAAAAATAAACTTAAATTCTCTCGGTGGAGGGAGGATGGCAATGAAGTTCTTATGTTTTAAATATTTTAATTTTCTAGGCACTGTACTAAGCACTTTGCATGGATGATTCAATTTGATTCTTACAATATCTTTCTTTGTTGCTTTTTACTCCCTTAAACTGCTTTTCTTTTTCTTTGTAAAACTTATCTCTATGTTATGGTTTGTAATCTAGATTTCCCCCCAGAGCCTCATGTGGTCATATGTGGGGCTTTTTGGAGGTGGCTGGATTTTAGGTGTGTGATGTTGGGATCAAGGATGTGATGCCATATTGATTCTGGTGCAGTGCTAGGATTAAGGGTGCCTCACCCTGGGTGTGAGTGCTATCCGTCCTAATGGTGGGTAGTGTGGATAAGATATAAGGGATAGAAAGAGGGTCCCTTGTAGCTTGCTGCTTTTGCTGCCATCTTCCTGCCATGAACTATTTCTCCTCTGCCATGCTGGCTTGCCTTGAAGCCAGCCAATTATGGACTGAAACCTCTACAAATTGTGATTCCAAATAAACTTTTCCTCCTTTAACTTTGGTGTCAGGTATTTTGTCTCAGCAATGAGAAGCGTAACTAATACATTCTACTTGATATATTACAAAAAAAAAGAAAAAACATGAAATCTAACTGCCTGATATAAACCTGCATGTATTAAAATGTAAATGCGGGGCCAGGGATTTAGCTCAGTGGTTTCAATGCCTGCTACACAAGCGCAAGGACCCGAGTTTGATCCCCAGTACCAAAAAAAAAAAAGTAAATGCATGAAATACTCATTTCTGTTTTGTTTTGTGGGCTAGGAGGTCCAGTTTAAAAAATGTGTCTGACCTTTTTGTGATGGGAGGAGCCCTTGTTTTAGAATCTGCAGCTCTCTTGCACTGGCTAGAGAGGGAAGGTTATGGACCATTAGGAATGACTGGAATATCCATGGGAGGACACGTAAGCCTTTTTCAATTTGTATTTCACTCTGATTGTAAGATCTATGGAATCTAGTTATTTTAGAAATTCTCCTTAGGTATGGAATTAACTTCAATCTTGGTGAAGGTGGGAAGCAGAAACAAATTGACCTTTCATTCTAATTATGAAGTGATTTTTTTTCATATATATCTAGGCATTTTATTGTACTTTTCTCCATTAACAGCTTAGATTCTGGGCTTAATATCTTCTGGAAATTTGATATAAAGTTTAATGTTTCAAGTGTCAAATATAAAAACCCAGTTTTGCTGTTAAATTGATCAAGATAGTTGAATTGGAAAATATTTTCCATTTATCTCTTCACTCCCAGTAACATCAATATATTTTACCTTTGTGTCTTCCAGAATGTACCGAAACCAACTTGTAAATGGTTTCTGTGTCTTTAGTCTGTTTTCTCAATAATGTTTTAAAATTTTTTTCCTATACACTATAACTAGATTAGTTTTTCTCTGATCTCTGCTCTCTCCTGCTCAGAACCTGCCAGAAGTTTGCTTCTACATCAGGTTCTAACTGTTCTGGACACTAGTATCCCCTGTCCCATTAATGCCCTTTCACTTAGCTGAACAGCACCATCCCCTTGTAGTTCCAGTTTAGAGCTTACTAAAGAAGCTGTGGTCTGCTCAAAGCCTTACCTTCATACGGTATCTCCCATTAGTACTTCATCTCTCTTTTTTTCATTAATTTTAATTAACTGCTTCGTTACAAGAATTTTTTATTTTTATTTTTATTAGTACATGTTTGTAGTATACAATGATTACATTCATCATGGGGAGTTGGAACATTTATATAACACGGCTTAATTCTTTTTACATACCCATTCATCTCTCCTTAGTACTTTTCATTATACCATAATTGTTTAGTTTATGTGGTAGTAGCCCTTAACTTCAGACTCTCACTCATGGGTTATTTTGGTTTTGTTGGTTGTGGTGGTTTGGTTTTTTTGAAACAGAGTCTCACTTTGTAGCTCAGACTGGCCTTGAACTCACTATGTAGTCCAGACTGACCTCGAACTCACAGTGATCCTCCTGCCTCAGCCTCCCAAGTGCTGGGACTACAGGCATGTGCCACCATGCCTGGCCCACCCAGTTGTTTAGTTTAGCAGTTTTCTCCACGAAGCAGTTGATTCATTGAAGGCTCAGAACATCCTTTCGTTCACAATGTAGCATATATTAGTCACTCAGTATATATTTTTTTAAATAGGTATATGGATTTTTCTATAGGTCATTTGAACTATAAATTTAAGTTTTTTAAAATGTACTCAAATTCAAAGGAACTACCATTGAAACTAAGGATAGAAAAGGATTTATTTTCCGACCTACTAGTGTTTCCATTGTTATGACCCAGGCTACTGCCTAAGAACTGATCTCCTTACCTCAAATCTCAACCTCTAGTTAATCTTGAAAATCGGATCACATTAGCTTCCTTGAATCACTTTCACAAAACTACTCTTTTGCTCAGAACTCTTAATTTCCTACAAAACAAAGGGACCACTCATTTGATCCTGATGAGTCTTTGCGGCTCTACCACTTTTACTCACACCAATGACTTCATAAGCCTACTGACCATCCAAACAGGATATTGGCTCTTCCCTACCTGACACTTCATTACCATCTTGATTTTAAACAAATGGCTGAAAAGATTCAGCCATTTCTTGAAGACTTCTCTTAACTGCTATAGCCAAAAGTCACTTTTCCTTTCTTTAAACACATGCATTACATTATTTTATATCCATTCTATAATCTGCTCTATAGTTCACAAATTCTTAGCCTCCTCAGCCACACCTCAAAGGTATGAGATTTTTCTGATTGTGATTTTGCATGATCTGAGCAAGTCACTTAAGTACTGAGTGCACTTAGTCTGCTGCCCAGCATCTCTATCTCAGGACCCTTGCTTTGTACCTAAAAATGGTATAAAGTAGGTGTTGGTAAATGTTCTCCAAGTTTTTATAATTTTTATTTCTAAGAAGGAAATTTTATGTTGCTAAATTTGAGATTTGGGGAGTTTAACAGAGTCACTAGACATTCTCATGGGTGTTTAGAGACTTTGTGTTCATGTCTTACCTCACCATTAACTATTTTTCATTTTAACAAATAGGCAATTTAAAATAAGCTTTCTCAACTGATTTATTATGTTACAGATGGCCTCCTTAGCAGTATCCAACTGGCCTAAGCCCATGCCATTGATTCCATGTCTCTCTTGGTCCACAGCATCTGGAGTGTTTACTACGGTAATTTAATTGCAATCATTATTTAGATAGTTAAGTATATAATTAAAGGTCATTGTTTTGAAGCTCCCCCAAATCAATCACAGGTTGAGTTATTCGGTAGAAGGTGTTAACAGGACTCAACATATATTTGTATTCATGACCAAGACTTAATTATAGCAAAAGAGCCTCACCTGCCTGGCAAGTACAGGGTCCTGAGTTCGATTTCCAGTACTGGGGAAAAAATTTATAGCAAAAGGATATAACAACCAACGAAAGGAAGAGGAACACTAGGCAAAATGTGGTGCAAACCTCCAAGAGTCTTCAACCAGTGGAATCTTACAGTTTGTCCTTAATTCCTCCAGCAGTAATTTGTGACAGTGTGCAAAGTGCTATCTCTATTGCCTGACTCTAGTACTCCAGGTATTTTAGTCAGGCATGAGTGAGTTAGGTACCCTTTGCCTAGCATGTACCAAAATTCCAGAAGGAAAGTGGTATTAAGCAGAAACTACATTGCTTGTACAAACAGCTTAGGTACAAATGATCCACTCTTTCTTTCCATTTAGGAAGTTATATATCAGTGTAAATGAACAGCTCACGACTCAAGTTGCCAGACTCTGGTTAAGGGCCAACCCTTTCTAAGGATAGGCAATCACAAATCCGCTATGTTAACTCTCTTATACACAGTGATTAATAAAAATAAAAGTATTGAAAATATGATTTGATCTTATTTTTATTATTTTAGGGTGTATTGAGTAAATCAGTTAATTGGAGGGAGCTGGAAAAGCAGTATTATACACAGACGGTTTATGAAGAAGAAATTATTCACATGCTTGAATACTGTGGAGTAAGTATTGTTTTGATTCAATCTTAAATACCACCCCCCCAAAAAAGGAAAAATGCTTAATTCTTTGATTCTTTCCCGTAATTTATCAGCTTTCAGGATAATGAATTGGTTCCATTACTGTCCAAATGTAACAATTGTTTTTTGTGTGTGTGTGTGGTACTTGGGATTGAACTTGGGACCTTGTGCTTGCCAGGCAGGCGAGGTGCCACTGAGCTACATCCCCAGCCCCTAAATCTGACAATTCTGTTCATGAATGTAAAAATTTTGCCTAGTTTGAGTTATTGACAGTCTCAAGAGATTTCATAAAGTAAAGGGATCTTCCTAGTAGCAATGCAGATTTTATAATTATCTGACTATAAACCTCACACTTAGGAAGTTAGGGTTTTGTTTTTTACTTCTTTTGGGGACAGAAGTCTTGCTTTATTACCCAGGGTGTCAAACTTGAAGTCTTCCCACTTGAGCCTCCAAAATAGCTATGATTGCAGGCATGTGCCATAATCTTCCATTACCTCAAATGTTAATTATTTGCTTCCTTAAGAACTTTATTACAATAAAAACACACTTTATTACAAAATAGCTTTATTAATTAGTTCCTTGTGTTCCACTATACCTAGAGCCAGAAAGATACCTACATTTGAAAGCTTCTGAGAAAACTTCCATCTGTTTTTTTGAAGAAAGTTCGTAAAGGGCTGGGGCCTCCTGCCTTGCAAGCGCAAGGTCGCAAGTTCGATCCCTGGTACCAGAAAAAAAGAAAGTTCATGAATGTCAGTTGTTTGAAATGGCAGTATAGTCTTACCCAGTACTTCTTGTGTCCCTTAGAACTAGTTCACAGTAATGAATGTTCAAAAAATGTCAAGATGATTTCTTTATTGTGATTTCACAGTCAAAAGAAGTTAAATTTAGTTAGGTGCAGTGGCATTTAGCTGGGTGCAGTGGCTATAGTCCCAACATTCTGGTGAGCTGAGGCAGGAGGATCCCAAGAACAGCCCAGCCTGGGCAACTTACTGAGATAAGAAAATAAAAAAATTTTAAATGGACCGAGGAATAGTAGCTCAGTGCAAAGGCCTTGGGTTCAATCTCCATACTTTAAATTTATTGATGTACCACTCTGAGTATCTAGAACTCATTAATCCTTGCATTTCTTTCTTTTCTTTTTTTTCCCCCCCATTTTTGAGACAGGGCTTCACAGTGTAGTCCAGGCTAGCCTTGAATTCACTATGTAACTCAGGCTGGCCTTGAACTTTTGATCCTCCTGTCACACCCTCATGAGTAGCTGAGATTGTGGACATACACCATCACTCTCAGCTCCTTGATAATTTTTAATACTTGTTTGTTCAATCTGAGTAAGGGATATTAGATAGGTGGTATCTTTTTGAGCTTATATTTACATTACTTCCAGTAAACACTCATAAAACTTCTAGAAGTTCTAAGATGAAGGCAGATTATGGGATTTCAAACTCTCACAATTAAACATGACACAGATTGATACCCTTTTTTGTTGTGTAGGAATCATTTAGTAATAAATACACATCATTTATCTTAATCTTCCATTAAATTTTGACATCTTTTCTCTTTTTTAAAAAGAATGATATGTTGGGGATTTAGCTCAGTGACACTGTGCTTGTCTTGCAAGCTCAAGGTCCTGAGTTCGATCTCTGGTACCAAAAAAACAAAAACAAAACTTATTCACAAAAAGGATGATAGATCTATACAAAATAAAATTTTCCATTTTGACCGTTTTTAATTGGATAGGAACATCGAGTATATCCACACCATTTGCAGTCACCACACCATCCCTTTCCAAAACTTTTATTTTCTACTCACACGAGTACAATCATAGTGTTTGTCTTCTTTTTTGTTTTGTTTGACACAGGGATTTACTATGTAGTCCAGGCTGGCCTTGAGCTTGCTTTGTGGCCCAGCTGGCCTCAAACTTGTGGTCTTCCTGCCTAATTCTCCCAAGTGCTGGGCTTTCAAGCATGCACCACCACATATGGCATTATTTGTCCTTTTGTGTCTGGTTTATTCATATAGCATAATAGTCTTCAGAGTTCATCCAGGTTATGGTATGTATCTTAAAAGAGAATTTAAAATTTTAATTTAAAAAATTCATTTCTGGGCCGGGGATTTAGCTCAGTGGCACCATGCCTGCCTTGCATGCACAAGATCCTGAGTTCGATTCCCAGTACCGGGGGAAAAAACAAAAAAGATAATACTCTATTGTGTATATATGTATGTATGTATGTATATATAAAGCAACATTTTATGTATCCTTTGATGAGTATTTATCTGTTTTTAAAAGGTTGTTAAAGTTCTATTTTGTATTAAATAGTTTTTTCTTTCATATATTCAGACAGATTCTTTCAAAATGGGACAAGAGTTTGTGAAACGCTTCCCTAGCAGTGCAGACAAGTTGTTTTCCAGAAGTTTAAATTTAGATATGACAAACCAAGTTGTGTCCCCAACACCTACTGAGTGCCAAACTTCTCGTAAAACATCTATCAGTGCTACATCAGAAGGACTCTTCTTGCAAGATACCTCTAAGATAGACTGCCTGAATCAAACACTTTCAACCAACAAAAGTAGTTACACAAGTTATAACCCTCAGTCATACCAGGTACTCAGCAAAGAACAAAGAAGAAACAGTCTTCAAAAAGAATCTTTAATATTTATGAAAGGAGTCATGGATGAATGCACTCATGTAGCAAATTTCTCAGGTACTAATTTTTATATATAATTGAGAATATTTCCTGGTGTGTAAATATTTGTGAAATATTTTAAAGATGCTTTACAAAATAATTTCATGTTTTAAAAGGAATATTTTTGTTACTTCCAGAATGTGTTCTCCAAGATAAACTGCTCATTTAAATGTATCATATTTTATCGATGAAAATCTTTCTGTGCCATCTCATCCATCCATCCATCCATTCATTCATTTATTCATTCATTGTTTTCTTTGAAACAAGGTCTCACTATGTATTTCAGGCTGGCCTTAAACTCACTATGTAGTCCAGGCTAGCCTTGAACTCTCGGTGATCCTCTTGAGTGCTGGGATTACAGGCATGTGCCACCATCTTTCTCATTTAAAAATACATTGGAGGGGAAGTGTAACTTAGTGGTAGAGCATGTGTTTAGCATTCACAAAGCCCTGGGTTTAATCCTCAGCACCAGAAAATAACAGTGATAAATAAAAATACACTGGATCTTGTATCTTTAGAATAGTCATCTTGTGTTAAGGATGAATATTATGGTAATATAGTATATTTAATACTTAAGAGTTTGATAATTTTTTTCCTTAATAGTGGTATATTGTGTGGTATGTTTTATTTCCTAATATGACTTATAGTATTTATATAAAATCTTAGACCTTTTTAATGTGTAAAAATCCCATACTTAGTTCCAGTTGACCCAAGCCTCATTATAGTGGTACAAGCCAAAGAAGATGCCTATATTCCACGAACAGGAGTTCGAAGTCTACAAGAAATTTGGCCTGGTTGTGAAATCCGATATCTAGAAGGGGGTCATATTAGCGCTTACCTTTTTAAACAGGGACTCTTCAGGTAAGATGATGTGTCTAAACAGGTATTTGTTTATTTGTTGTTTGTTTTTCTTTTCCCTCAACAAGTAGGAAAGATTAGGCATTTTTATTGCATGTGTTAGTCCCTTCTTGCCTCCCACAAATCTCACATTGAGGTATTTTCTCTCCTTTCCTAGCTTGTCCTCTTTCTTTTTATTCTAGAAAACTTGGCATGTAGGTTATCTTAGGCATGTTTTTTCAGGTGGTTTTACTCTCTTTAAGCACTAATAGTCATGTATTTTAGGGTGTGTGAAGGAACACTGTGTGGTTTGTAGAAGTTGCTTAGGTGCATGGATAAGTTCTTTTATTCCACTCTGATGTTTTCTCAGAATGGCTTGAGCATCTGTCACATAATATAGCAATGTGTTTTAATTAGCAAGTAAATAGTGAATTTTAAGGAGAAGTGAGATGCTGATTTAATATTAATGACTTTTGATATTCGAATACTGACTCCACTATTTTTTATTCATTCATCTGTTTTTTGTGGCACTGGGGATTGAACCCAGAATCTTGCACTGAACTGTATCTCTAGCCCTTTTTGTATTTTGTTTGCAGTACTGGAAGTTGAACCCAAGGAGAACTGAGCTTCTTCCCCAGACCTTTCTACTTTTTTGAGATAGAAATTGAACCCAAGGAACACTGAACTGCATCCCCAGCCCTTTTGAAAAATTAATTCATTTGTTTATTTTATTTCAGGACAGGATTTGCTGAATTGCACAGGCTGCCCTTGAACTTGAAACCCCCCTCCTACCTCAGCCTCCCAAGTGCTGGGATTACAGTGTGCCACCACGACTGGCTTTAGTCACATGATTTAAAAGGTGTATGCATGCAAGCACAAGGTCGTGAGTTTGATCCCCGGTACCAAAAACAGGTGTATGCAGCTCAGTGGTAGACCAGTTGCTTAGCATATTGGAAGTTCTCAGTTCAATTCCCCACACTGTGAAAAAAAAAAAAAAAAAGCCAGGCACAGTGGCATGCACCTATAACCCCTGCACTTCCAGTACTCTGGAGGCTGAGGGAGGAGGATTATTGTGACTTTGAGGCTAGCCTGAATTACATAGTGAGATCCTGTCTGGGAAAAAAAAAAAGGCATATGTGTACCTTTCCTAACCCTTCTCCTACCATCTACACAAGCCCATACTGTGACTTTAGACATCAGGAAATCAAATTGAGATTCATTCAACCAGAGCAAGTTCCCCAAATTAACCCTGGGGGGAAAATTCACCAGTGGGCTAACATGAGCCTTTCTCCCACTCACCTGCGGTCAGCTATTGCTGTCACACCTGCCCTTAAAAAAAATCTCTTTGTATGTTTATACTAACATACAAATATCCAGCTTTCATTTGTTTCTCTTATGGTTTTTAAGATTTACAAGGAACAAATTTTGAGCCAAAGAAAGAAAAGCTTGTTAGAAATCTATGTCTTCCCTAACATAATGAAAGTCATAATCTGTTAGCTGGTTCTCAGTTTTAAAAATAATCTTCATATTTTTGTTAGAATATGGGGAAATGTTTAAACAAGTAGGACATAAGAGCAATATTATCTCATAGTTTTTATTTATACTGGGTGAAAATATAGACATGTGCATTAAATAAAACATTCTAGAAGAAATAAATACATTAATAACAGATGCCTTTGAGTAGTGGCATTATAATGTCTTTTTCGCTTTTCCATATTTTTTGATTTTCTGAATGTTCTACAGTGAAAATGTACAGTAGGGAAAAAATAGCTTCAAAAATTTTTTTTGAGACAAGGTCTCACTATGTATTTCAGGCTGGCCTCAACTCAAAATGATCCTCCTGCCTCAGCCGTCCAAGTGCTGGGATTACAGGAATGTACTACCATGCCTGGCACTTAAAAAAATATATATATATATATTTTATATATATATAAATGTAAATTTATATATACTTATATATAATATAAATATAATAATATAATATATTATATTATATTTATATATAATATAAATATATATTTGTTTGGTACCAAGGATCGAACTCGGGTCCTTCTGCTTGCAAAGCGGGTGGCAGAACCACTGAGCTAAATCCCCAGCCCCTAAAAATATTTTTTGAAGGGCCAGAACAGTTTGTTCCTTTCCAATTGAAATATGAAAATATCCAGTGAAGTTAATGTGAAGTTAAAAGCAACGATTTTGATTTTAAATTCAGTTGCCAACCAAATGTTCTTAGTTTTTTTTAAAAAAAAAATGTCGTTCAGTGAAATAGATTGAATCTCACAGTCTAAAGGTTACATAATTTTCAACAAAATAACAGAGATGAGAAGAAATCAGTTCTTTGTCTTGCTATTTGTGTGTGTGTTTGTGTATGTGTGTGTAGTGTTTATGTACAAAGAAAGGCTTTTAAGAAAAGATACCCCTGGCTCCATCTTCAGTTGAAACACATTTCAGGTTTTCCAGTAGTAGTGGTGAGGTTCCATGGAGCCAGTCCCCCAACACACAACATTTTTACCCTTTGTATAGTTCAGAGAGATGGTTGGTTTATAAACCACAGGTAATTTTGGAAATACAGTAAAGGTGTTGTCTGTCCCCCACTCCTTATGCTAATGACTTACTGTTTTTCTTTTATATTTAATTGTAGACAAGCCATCTACGATGCATTTGAACGCTTCCTCCATAAATATGCTAACTAACTGGACTGCTGTATTACAGTATAACCAGTGCAGCCATTGTGTTTCTTAGAAAAGAAACTTTCATCCTGTGATGATGCGAAGAACCAGCAGACTGTACTATATATCTAATTTTTACCAGTTTAATCTGGAATTCAGTGTTACAGGTCAGTCAGTTATAAATGTTAAATACTACATTTCATTACTTTCAGAACAATATTTGAATTAAATAATTTGAAGTATTTTGCTATTGTGGGAGTCCCATATACTCAATATCTAGTCTGTTTATGAAAACAGCATTTTAAACTGAGTAATTTATTAATTTAAAATAATTTTATTCATAGAAATCTTGGTTTTTAATAGAATTGCTAAAACGAAGAAGATTGTAATATATCAGCCTGTACAGTATACCTTTATGACGTTTCTGCCAATTTTATTTGAGAAATGTGTGGTTTTTTTGATGCATGGTGAGTTTATAGTCTTATTTACAATTACAGTTAATTTTCTGCCATAGAAATATTTGTATATAAAATCACTGTTAAATTTGAATTTTAAAAAAATCCTGTTTTGTAGATAAGTGCTTTTAATAATTAAAATGAGTAGGCTGGGGATTTAGCTCAGTGGTTCTGCCTCCTGCCTTGCAAGTATAAGGTCCTGAATTTGATCCCCGAATAATAATAATAATAATAATAATAAAATGAGTTGAAATACAGATGGGATGAATTAAACTAGGCTAGACTTTAAATTTTTACTAAAGATTAGAATTCTAAAAATGCCAAACATTTCCCCTACTTGAAAAATTTCAAGTCATGAAAAAGGGAAATAATGGAAGACCTTCTATTACATTGATGGTTCTTTGTTTATCATTTTCCTGTATACTTACTCAATTTGCTAAGCATCTGACTTTAGCTAAAATACTTAACAGCTTTGCCTTCTTAATTTCATAATACCATTTATGAAATTGATTTGTCTGCCGGGCATGGTGGCGCATACCTGTAATCTCACTGCTAAGGAGGCTGAGGCAGGAGGATCACCATGAGTTCAAGGGCAGCCTGGGCTACATAGTGAGTACAAGGCCAACGCAAACTGCAAAGCAAGACCTTGTCTCCAAAATACAAAGAAAAGAAAAGAAATTGATTTGTCCCATACAGACTTTTGAAGTTTTATATATATAATAACTTTTTTTCCCCTTGGTACTGAGGATTGAACTCAGATCCTCGAGATTGCTAGGCAGGCACTGTGCCACTGAGCTAAGTCCCAAGCCCTATAATAATGTTTTTAAATGGGGAATTATATGACTAAATTTCATGCTTATTTTTGCAGGTTTTTTCATGTTTTGTTTTTTTTTTGAGGTAGGGTCTCCCTATATTTCCCGGGCTCAAAGTTCTAATCCTACTTTAGCCTTGTGAATGCATTATAAGTGTGTGCTGCCATGCCCAGTTCTTAGTGCTTTCTTTTTATGTTAAACTTCTCCAGCTGAGAGTTAAAGTTAAAAAGAAAAGAAAATATTTTTAGGTATTGTGTGGAGGTTTGGATTAAGTGTATTTGAGGGTTGCTTTTTTTAAAAATCTGTGTTGTTTATGAATTATAACATGTAGTTTTATAACATGTAGTAAGGATGTACGAGTTACAATGTGCCTTTGCAGCCTTTTTAAAGATTTTGTAACTTTAATGCCTCCATCTTAATTTTTTTTTTTTTGGTACCAGGAATTGAACTTGGAGACTCACGCTTTGCCAGGCAGATGCTGTGCCACTGAGCTTCATTCCTGGCTCTCCATCTTAATTTTTATAACCATTTAAAATTAGCTAGGTGAGGTAGCACACACATGTAATCCCAGCACTCAGGAGGCTGAGGCAAAAGGATTGCCATAAGTTCAAGGCCAGCCTGAACTACACAGCGAGAACCTGTCTCAAGAAAAAATAAAAAATAAAATTATTAATGTGACATCATTGATGGCCCACAAAATAGTAATTTCTTTAAAACTGCCCTGCCATAGGGCCGAGGATTTAGCTCAGTGGTACTGCGCCTGCCTTACAAGCGCAAGGTTCCAAGTTCAGTCCCCAGTACCAAAAAGTAAAACTGCCCTGCCATAACAAAGCAATACAGAACAGCTTAGAACCTAAAGCAGTGTTACATGTGCAGAACAGAACCTTTATAGTTTTAACTCCCAAGTATAAAGTCTGCTGAAGTTCTTCTACAAAATAACCTTTAAAGATAAAATAAAACTTATTGCCACCTGAATTACAGTGACTTTATGTCAGGCATATAGTGAGATATGATTGAATGCTTCTTGAAAAATGACTTTGGGCTGGCGATTTAGCTCAGTGGTTCTGGCGCCTGCCTCACAAGCACAAGGTCCTGAGTTTGATCCCTGGTACCAAAAAAAAAAAGAAAAATGACTTTGGTAAAACCAATAGTTTATTCTTTTTCATATAAACATTTCTTACTAAGCAATAACATACTATGGCATGTGGTTTTCTATTGATAAACAAATGAAATTTCAGTACAAGTTTTTTTTGAGACAGGGTCTTGCTATGTAGTTCCCAGTGGCCTTGAACTCAGCTGTGTAGCCCAGGCTGGCCCTGAACTCATTGTGATCCTCCTGCTTCAGCCTTCCAAGTGCTGGGATTACAGCTGTGCACCACCACACCTGCCCGGTTATATAGTTTCAACTTTTAGGCCTAACTTTCCCCAAATGTGAAAGACTATTTTTCTTTGTTTTGCAGTAGCAGGGATTGATTCCAGCCCTTTTTGTATTCTTAATTGTAATTGGAGATAATGAGTCTTGTTACATTGCCTAGATTGGCCTTGAATTTGCAGTCCTTCTCCCTTAGCCCCCAAGTAGCTGGAATTATGGGCATGCACCATGCACCACCACGTGTAGCCCAATATTTCATCTCTTACCTTGATGTTTTAAAAGTGTACTCACAATTCAGGCGTGGTGGCGCACACCTGTGATCCCAGCACTAGGGAGGCTAAGGTAGGAAGATCCCTGAGTTCAAGGCCAGCCTGGACTACATAGCAAGACCCTTTAAAAAAAAAAATTGAAAAGTCTTTAGGCTGGGAATCCATTCCCAAGTTTGCCCTTGGATTCCCTCTTACATCACACTACTCCACTTTGTCTTTCCTACTCAACATTGAAGATATCTAAGTTTGAGACCCCTGATTTTGATCTGTGATTAGGAAGTTTCTGAATTTTATGATTTGCTAATGTTGTATTACTATTAAGTCATTTTATCTTATGCATTTTAGATTGTTTCTTATGAATGTATCTTTTTTTAATGTGGTGCTTTCTTCTGCAAACTACTGAATTTTTAATATTGTAAGTAAAATTTTTAAATGTCATTTTTGAAGACTTTATATTTCATAATAAAAGTCTATTTAAAAAAGGTAATTATTTGGGTTTTTTTTTTCCAGCAAGCATAATTCCAAATACAGAAAACACACGTTACATTTGATCAAGGTACCAAAATTGGGCCAGGGATTTAGCTCAGTGGTTCCACCACCTGCCTCAAAAGCATCCGAGTTCGATCCCTGGTACCAAAAAAAAAAAGGTACCAAAATGAACCGAGTATATTTATTCCCTCCTTGTTTGGTTTTGTTTTGTTTTAGAGGGGGTACTGAACCCAGGTCCTTTCTTCCCCTTAGTTATTATACCCACATAGTAAGGTAAAAATAAGAGAGGGAGACTTTAGGACAGCGGTGGTGAACATATGGCACACATGTTATTGTGTTCTTAAGATAAAAGATGTTAATGTAAGAGTTTTTTCTAAACTAAAACCTCAGTATTATAATTAAACAATGTTGGTACTTTGCTGGCAGTAAGTAAGTGGCTTTTGGTTTGCAGTTTAGCACTTGGTCTCTAAAAGGTTTGCCATCACTGCTCTGGAACAGTATCAGTATCTCAAAGAACCAAATATTTTCCAAAATGTGTGTGATCTGGGGGAAAAGAGCATTCTGACATACCATAGTTATCTGAACTTAGCTTGATCTTGGATGTTATCACCTTTCTGCTAGTAGATATGCTTCAGGGCTGAGGGGATGTAGCTCAGCGGTGCTGTGCCTGCCTGGCAAGCACAAGGTCCTGAGTTTGATCCCTGGTACAATGAGTGCATTTGCCTAATATATACATATATAACTTTTTTTTTCCTGTGCTCAGGATGGAACCCAGGCAAATGCTTGACCACTAAGCTATGACTCAAGCCATTCCCCTGGTAATTTTTTTTTTAGTACTAGGAATCGAACTCAGGACCTTGCACTTGCCAGGCAGGCACAGTGCCACTGAGCTACATCCCCAGCTCTTCCCCTGGTAATTCTAATGTGTAGTCAGGTTTAAAAACCACTGAGCTTGGGCCGGGGATTTAGCTCAGTGCTTTCACCGCCTGCTGCGCAAGGACCTGAGTTCAATCCCTGGTACCAAAAAACCCCCAAAAAACCATTGAGCTACAAAGGATTCAAGGGACGAACTGCTGAAGTAAAAGGAAGAAGATACAAAGTCATGAAATCAACCTAAATTTGTGGAAAGTAATTCCCAATACCCTGGGTGTTATCAGCAACTGAGAGGTATTATAAAGTAGCCAAGAGGATTTGTATTCCTTTTGCTGCTTCTACTTTGTTGAGTAGTTGTTTAGAACAGAATGGACTGGGGATGAAATTCGGCAAGGTGTGCAGCAGAGCTTCTTCAAACCTTTAACTTCCTTAGCTGGGCATGGTGGTGCACACTTGTAATCCCAGCACTGGGGAGGCTGAGGCCAGCCTAGGCTACACTCCGAGTTCAAGGGCAGCCTGAACTATATATTGAGACCCTGTCTCTAAAAAACATTTTTTTCCAGAATAATTGGCATAAGGATGAGATTCTTTTTGGAGAGGATAATTCACATGATTGGGTTTCAAAGTTTGTATTGTCTATCTTCAAAATCTTGGAAATATTCATGTGTTAATGCTGATCTGTCATAACATTTTACATATTTCAGCTTTGAAAATGTCTCTTACACAGATAGGTACTGCCAAATACTGATATTAACCCAAAGGCAAATGCTTTTAATTTAACATATTCATCTTTTGGAATGCACTTAAACAATTCTATTAGATTTGTCTCTTGATATTTGCCTTGTAGCCTTATTTCAACAATATAAAGTGATGACAGCAGCACATATGGTCTGTGTTGCAGTACTCAACTCTGTTGTAGTGTGAAAGCCATAGACAATACATAAATTGATAAGCATGGCTGTTATTTGAATTGCATGTACTTAGTTATATCACAAAATACTCTTTATTTTTTTAACCATTAAAAAATGTAAAAGCCAGGTGTAGTGGTACATGCCTGTAATCCCACCTATTCTGGAACCTGAAGCAGGAGAACTGTAAAATCGAGTCCAATCTGGGCAATTCAGCAACTCAGTGAGACCCTGTCTCAAAATCTAAAAAGGACTAGGGGTGGAGATCAGTGGGAAGGCTTTGGGTTTAGTACCCAGTACTGCAGATAGGTATAGTGGACCCTTGACTCAATTCGTTCTCGAGGGCTGGTTGTAACTCAAGTTGGTCAGTTGAAGGCTCAGGCTCCTCTACATAGCCTTCAAAGTCTCTCCTGTACACAAGTAGAGCTCAGTGTTCTTAGATATTGGCCCAGGATTTCTCAATTAACCCCCCACAGGAAAGGATGTTGTAATGTTCCTTCCAGAACTCTTTAAGGGTTAAATCTGTATCTGAGACCATCTAGAAGCACAAGTGCCCAGGATTCAAGTCATAACTCAAGACTTTGTTTGTAAGTTAAAACTAAAATTCCAGGGCCAGAGATTTAGCTCAGTGGTGTCACCCCCTGCCTCACAAGCGCAAGGTCCTGAGTTCGATCCCCAGTACCAAAAAAAACCCAACAAAAAACTAAAATTCCAGTTGTAACCCAAGTTGTTCGTGTCAGGCCAGCCGTAAATCGGGGGTCCACTGTAAATAAAAATATGGCTGAGACATAGCTCAATGGTAGAGTGCTTACCTAGCATGTGCAAGGACTTAGTTTCAATCTCTAGTACAATGCAAAAAAAAAAAAAAAAAAACCACTTTACCCTAGGGTGTAATTCATTGGTAGTGTTCACCTAGCAGTCTCAAAGCCCTGAGGTCTGTTCCACCCACTGCAATAATAACAACAACCAGGCGTGGTGGTGCATGCCTATAATCCCAGCACTCAGGAGGCTGAGGCAGAAGGATACCTGCAAATTCAAGACCAGTCTGGGCTATATAACCAGACCTTGTCTCAAAAAGAAAAAAGTCCATCTTGAACTGTATAGCCACACCCTGTCTCAAAAAATCCAAAACCAAAGTAATAATAATAAAGGCCAAAGAAAGCTAAAAGAGAGCTAGTAGTCTTTCTTACCCTTTACCTTCCCTTTGTATGATTCTTGTAACATGCTTAATCATTGAGAAAATATTGAGTCACTAAGTTTCACAGACTTTGCAAATGTTAACAGATTTTTTAATGTAACATCGAAACTTACAGTCATTAAAAGCACTTTCATTAAAATCTGATCTCATCAGAAAAAAAGCATTGCAAAGCTGTTGAGATCCTGGTAGTGGTTACAAGTTTTACAGACTTTTAATTTTGCCTTGAATTTTATCACTGGCACAAATATTGTTCATTGGTCAGCCGTGGTGCTACACGCCTGTAATCCAGAAGGCTGAAGCAGAAGGATCGTCACAAATTTCAGGCCAGCCTGGGCTACATAGTGTGATCAAGGTCAGCTTGAACTTATCAAGACCTTGTCTCAAAAAATAAATAATAAATAAAATATTGTCCATTAATCTGACAGGCCTCTGAGTTCTTGTTGTTTTGGTGCTGGGGATTTAGCCTAGGATCTTTTTTTTTTTGAAGCAAAATATTTATTGGTACATTTTAGATAAACATAAGGATAACATTCATCATAGGGATTTGTACCAGTATATGATATATCTTGCAGGGTTTTTTCCCATTCCCCTCCCCTCCTTCTGGTCCCGCTTCCCCTCTTTATTTACAAAAGTTTTGTTTCCATTTTTTTCTTATAGTCTCTTTTTTTCTTGTCCCTTTTTCCTTTCCCCCTTCCCCCTCCCTCTTTCTTTGTTTCTCTTCTCATTTGAACATTTTCTTCTGATGTCCCAATATCTATTACATATTTTCATCTTTATTTACAATTTAGGTTGTAAACAATGCAGTATACATTTAGTGCATCCAATTTATCTCACTTAAGAGTATGGTCTCAAGGTGCATCTATTTAGCTAAAAATATTTTAAGCTTATCCTTTATGGCAGAGTAGTTCTCCATTGTATAAAAAAACCACATCTTTATTCATTCTTCAGTTGATGGGCATTTGGAGCCCAGGGTCTTTTGCATGCTAGGTAAGTGCTTTACCACTGAGCTATATCCCCAGCTTTTTAAATTTTTCACCTTTTTTTTTTTTTTCTGGTACCGGGGATTGAACTCCGGTCCTTGTGCTTGTGCAGCAGGCAGCAAAACCACTGTGCTAAATCCCCGGCCCCACCTTTTTCTTTTTTTTGAGACAGGGTCTCACTACATAGTTTAGGTTGGCCTTGAACTCAAATCAACTATGCAGCCCAGGCTGGCTTCAAACTTGAAGCAACCCTTCTGCCTCCTGCCTCAGGCTCCCAAGTGCTGGGATCACAGGAGTGTGCTACCAAGCCCAGCTTCCCTTTTTTTAAATTTTGGTTTGGTTTGGTTGAGAACAGGATCTTACTATGTAGTTCAGTCTGGCCTGGAACTTGCAGTGATCCTCTTCTCTTGGCCTCCTGAGTGCTGGGATTACAGACATGTACCCCCACACTGTTTATTTTTTATTTTGAGATAGGGCCACAGGGCCATACTAAATTGCCCAGACTGGCTTTGAACTTGCAGTTCTGCCTCAGCTTCCCAAGTAGCTGGGAGTACAGGCAAATGCCACCACATTTTTGAGAACATGTCTGCCACATTACCTAAGCATGAACAAACTTGTGTTATCAGTTGTTCTTTTAAGTAAAAATGTAGTCCATGCAAAAAAGAGCAGTATAAAAAAGCAGGTAAAAACTATAGACAGCTCAGTTAGGTAGAAACTGGCAATCAGATAGGGCTGGGCTCTCAAGGGAATCAGTGCAGAAGATAAGCCAAAAACTGGCTGGACATGCAACCTAAGAAGATTAAAATCACAATGGTAAGATTTACATACTTCCCCTAAGGAAGCTTGAGACTACTGGTACCACCCTTTTGAGATTTTCCATATAAAGCAACCATCATCCCATTAGCTCTGGACAGTCTTCTACTCCACCCACTAAAATGAATAAGACTACTAAGGCTAACAGGTT